TTATTTATTTGGTTTAATAATTATTTCATTTATTAATCGCTTTTTTAAAAAAAATTAAACTAAACTTTATAACATTCAAATATTATTTTTACGATAAATAATAACTGATTTTTTAATACAAATATTAACATAATAATTAAGTAACACATTTTTGATTCAATTTCATTTTTTGCCAAATTTATAAATGTTTTCTAAAAAAACACAATTTAATACAACCTAAAATTCAACCGCTTTCAATTTTGTGATTGAATTAAACTAGTAAATGTAAGTAAATCTACGATTTTTATACAACTCAAAATTTTTAGTGCATTTTTTTTCTAAAGAAAAGAATTTTGCTAAGTTCTTCAATTAAAAGTAAAAGTAAAATTTTAAATATTTTCAAGATAAGAATTTGATAAAAAAAAAAAAAAAAAAACAATCACAAATATAAAAGCTAAAGTACAAAAGCAATGGAACTGAGACTTCGACAAACAAAAATCCTTACCGAACTTTTTTTTTAATTTGGCATAAACTTTTACACATTTCTGCAAATTCATATATGCAAATGTTGCGATGTCAAAAAATCGTTTTGTTTTTCTTCAATTAATACAAATTACAGACTAACTTTGACACTTCCATATTTTTCCCAGCATTTTTTTAAAAGAATAATATTTTCTGTTTCAAAAAAAAATAAATTAAAAATTCAATATTATTCTTTGAGGAATCATTAATTGACCACAATGATAGCTTTTTTTTTCCTTAAATTTCTATATTTGCTGTTTATAAAATAAATTATCTCATTTACAAGGAAATTAATGAGTACTATTTTAACTTATTCAAATATTGCATATTTGATAATAAACTTTTATCAGTTTTTCTTACATCTAATGAATGCTATAGTTTTGTCAATGGGTTACAATTCTATTTCGGAAATTATCGGAATATAATCGTATATTTTCAATTGTATATTTTTTCGTATTCCTTTTTTTTTTCGAATCTTATATTTTTAATCGATATTAAATTTTGGAATACAGGTAACTATATGAATCATTTAGAAAATGTTCTAGCACCAATTTTATTTCAAAAAATTTTGTTGTCAATAGAAAATGAACAAAGATTAGCAATTAAAGGATTCATTAGCTAATTAGCAAAACAATAATGTGATAGTTTTCAGTGTTGTATGACAGGGGATAATTAATCCGAATGTGACATTATGTGACACATTCAAAAGTTTAAATGAATTACTTACCATAGCTATGTTTCAGTTCAAGAAATATCATGAAAATTAAATTTATACATATATAAAAGTTTATATTTTAAAACCAGTACTTGTGTTTTTTTAATGATTTGAATAAAATGAATATTACTCAGTTTTTACCAATGCTTACAAAATGATATAGGCTTAATTGATTTTTATTGGGAATTTTAATTTGCTAATGCAAATTAAAATGAATTGTTTAATTTGCTATCGAATCTCTTAAATTATTAATTAAATTAATAAATGCAGTCATTTATATTGAATTTTCATAAACATAATAGAATGTTTAGATTACCATTGAAATATTAATGGAGCAAATTTCATTTATAAAAGGAACGAATATTACAAGTTTTCAACATTTAATAATTTTTATGAATAAAATACAAGAAAATGTGAATAAAAAATATCACTTAGAAAATATAAACAAAATTTAGATAAATGAAAGGAATTTATTGGAGCAAAAATACATTTCACTGATCTTTGTGATCACTTTAATCAGTTCACCTTAAAGCTGTCGGTTGACCTTTTCTTCAAACTACTTAATATTATCGTTGTTACAACCACTTTAATCTATTTGGTCATGCAGCCTGCCAGCCGTTTATTTGCTTATTTATTCATAACCTTTACTTTTATTGCATTAAAAAAATATTCGCAATAAAAAATATATCCCAAACTATGTTTACTATGTTTTTTATCTTCAGCTATTGAGTGTTAGCTTTTCAAACATAATACAAAAACAAATATTCCACAAAAGAGCTACCCAAGAGTTTTTTTGATAAAATTAAATTGACCAGTAGTGTTGCAATATGATCGAAAATTACCTAGGAAATGAGAATTTTGATTTGTTTATCTGCGAATTTGGTGATAAATTTTAACAGAAAATTGAAACAACAAGTAAGTAAATTTTATTGCACTCCAAATTATTAATTAATTAATTAATATTTACTGTTCATATTTTAATTGTGTCTTTTTGCCGTACCATATTATATGCTTCTCTGTTTACTTTATCTTATTCATTGGGATATTATTGTTAATCTAATTCATTTGAATATATACTTGGTTATTATTGAGAGTGAATAATTCAGTGATTAAGTATTAAAAATGTTAATTGCTATTCTTTCCAAATCAGATTAGATTAATTCTCGAGCTAGCCATTCATTAATTGACATTAAAATGATTTACTCCTCATTCACTGAAGCATATTTTATGAAGTATAAAACATTGAACGGTTTTTCTGCATTTCAATTATCGATAATATCTCACAGAAACAGAATCACATACATTGCAACATATAAAAATACTGAATGAGAAATAACAGAATATTCTTTTGAAGGTCCAAAAAATTTTAAGATATCAAATTAATTAAATAATTTGGAACAGTCAGTTTCAAGTTTGAATTTGTTTAAAAAAAACGAACATATTTTTACTTAATCGCAAATAACTGGATGAATTTTAGTCAAAGCTAATGAATAGTCATATTAAATAGTAGTTTCTTAAAGATATGTTTGATGAAGATACGAAATCGTTTGACAAAAATTAAATTAACAGTTGGCAATACAAGATTGTTGAAAATAGCATAACAATTGATAAAAATATTGACAGGAATTTCAGCTTTCTTGCCAGCTAATTTAACTGCAAACTTCAAAAGGAAATGGAAACAAATAATTTCAATTTCCATTACTCCACAAACTACGGCAGCCTGAATTAGCATCGATCGCTCATGTTTACCACTACTTCTTACTGCACTCTTTGTTTCACATCCTTCAAATATTCTTTAATTAAAAATGATTAAATTTATTACCATATTTGAGGGTTGAATGAAATATGAAGTAAAAAGAAACCTATAAAGAACTGCAAAACTTTTTAAAGTTTTCAGAAAAACTTTAAAAAAGTCATAGAAAGCAAAACCACTGTTACCGTTTGTTTTATTTAATTCCAAAGCTCTCTTCAACAAACGTCGCATGTTGCAAAACATTAAAATATGCATTGCGAACATCATCATAGGTAACGAAAGTGTCCATGCATAACGAATTATGGAAAAAAGTAATTGAAGAGTATATCTCAGATGAACGAAATTAATTTTAAATTTATAGAAAATAGTAGTGTTAAATAATATTCTACTCTTTTGAATAATAAAACTTTCAATGCAGAAAAAAAACGAACTTCAAAAACACAGCTCCACTTTCTGCCGTCCTTTTGGTACAATTAAGAGACCATTGCAAGTTGGATACATGAAATGTTTTAATGCAATAATGAAATTCTATCACTGATATTACTGAAAAGCCATCTGAGAAGTTTAAAACATTAATAATATATTATAAATAATGAGATTAAATGATACTAATGGTGCATCTATATATTGGACAAAGTTAACTCTACGATGAAGAAAACGAAGTAATCAAGTTTTGATAATTAGCCAAGTTGTTTGCTATGTGTTTGTAACTGTAAGATAATGATTTTTAGCGATTAAACTAAAATACCGATGACAGACATTGAGAGAATCATTTAAAAATTATATTTAGCATAGCCTTTTGTAAGCTATTTGGAATCAATCTTTTTTTTTCTTTTGAATTGCACAAAAAAGTTAATGAATTATACCAAAACTTAATAACCATATGAAGCTGAGGAGAAAATAAAATTTTATTGATTCGAAGAAAGCATTAAATTTCGGAAAGCATATGACCATAAAGCGATTAATTGCTAATAGAAATGTAAAATGCAACGTGGCGAAAAACGAAAACGTATTCGCAGCAGTGAATATTCCGTGAATCGTTGCTGACATATTTGCTTAAATCATTATTTGCTATTCTAAATTATATGTGCTTTCTCCATTAATAATAACAGTGTAACAATGTAAAAATAATATAATAGCAATAGTATAATAATATTAATAATAAATTTAAAAACAGTAATAATAACAACAAAAGTAATATAAGAGAAGAACTTACTGCCAAAACTTTTGTTCCTTAGTATTCCACCCAAGACAATGGCCACTTGTGGGATAAAGTTCAAGAAGCTACAAATAATAATTTGGTATGTTATATGAGTGAACGCTCGACTGTAAAGATTGTTACGGCTACAGAATACCACCATTAACAGTACATTGCTGAGAATACCGTATAGCAAAAGCAGTGAAAACAGTACAACCGCCACGTATCTTTCTACCGTATTACATTCATTCCTTATATCGAACACATTTGTCGCATTCTCTGCGTGACAATTTAACGGTAATATCAGGAATAATGCAATAATACAGTAAGAATGAGTCATCACTTTGCTCATTGACAATCTTTTCCGGAAACTGCGATTATTGTGCTAAAATGACTGTTAGTTATTAGATTTTATTACTAGATTTTTTAATATCAAATATTAAATTATGAAAAACTGAAATTTCATAATGCGATTGCAATCATTGTGGCGAATGTGATAATTAAACTTCCTGTTCCTGTTCAATTTAATATGAATTACAAATTTAATCGCGAAATTAACTTCCTACTTCTCTGACTATCTGTTTAAAGTTGCTGAAAGTAATTTGGTGCTTAGCTGCCATTTAAATTTAATAGAAATTTAAATTGAATAGGAAGTTTAAAATTTGTTTATTTTGTGACTCCACCCGCCAGCATTGCTAACTTGAAGTTATTAATATAAGAAGGAAATGTGCTCACTGTTTTTCATGCTGCACTTTGATTTTTCATTGGCTTTCTTAACAATAAACCCATTTGTTAATGGATTTTTATTTTGCTCGTCTAATATCAAAGGCTGAATGACATATCAAATTAAAGTATAATTTCACTACAAACAATGCCATAAAGATATTTTAATAACAAATAACTTTCTGACAATGCGAATATGACTTCCGCCTTATGACAATTTCAAAATGTCTGAAAATGGCTTTAAAAGAAAATTTGTCATAAACAAACTTAATTTATGCCATTGCAAGACTGCAAGAATGAAATAAGAAAATTAATACTGTGCTGACCGATATTACATTTGTGGGTGAACAACAATAAATTGCAACACTTATCAGATAAAGTTGGATAAAGTTCAAGAAACTATAAACAATAATTTGTGATACAATAAGAACAAATGAGTGACTGTAAAGATTGTCATAGCCACAGCAAACGACCATCAACGGTACATTGCTAACAATACCGTATAACAACTGAAAGATTCTATCACATTCAGGTACTTGTATTTTTGAAACATTGCGATAGCATTGTTGTTGGTAATATATTTTCTTGTGCATCATCGAATTATGATCATACACAGTGTTGTTTGGTGAGTTCTTTCATTTTAAAATGTTACTGTAAATTTTAATTTAATCTCATTTTAAATAAATGATTTGTTCATTTACAAAATATTTATAGGCTAATGGAGTAAGTGGAAAATGTCTGGAATATTGCTCAGCTCATGATGGTGTACCTCCAAATTATTTGGATTATTTAGCATGCCTAGAATACTTTGATACTATCAAACAATGCTTTAAAAATTATCTGGAAAAAAATCCTGCTATTAAGCCTTAAATATAATTGTTTTTATAATACAATAATTGTGCAATATTCAAAAATCAGGGTAATAATAATTAAATACAAAAATAATTCATTTTTAAAAATTAGTTGAAGTTTGCAGACAAATAAAACTAATCAAAACTATCAAGCAGAAAATGCTTATTCTGTCTAAATTTTCTTCATAAAAAATAATTTATAAATATTCATAAACAAAAAAAAAATCCATTCTTTTTAGAAATCAGAAACGATAATATTACTGTTATCACAAAGCAGTGATATCCAAAACATTCTAAATGCCATTTGTCTTTGCCACTCCTCTTACAATATTTCGATTTTAATCTGAAAATTTAAACTTTTTAAAAGAAAAATTAAAACTTCAAAAATTTGAATTTCATTTCATACATTTCAATACAGTCGGTCGCAGAAAATTACTTACTTAACATAAATGTAAACTGTTTTTACTTAAATAAATCAATTGATTGTGTCATATATGAATTAATTTACATTTATAATTTACCTGAAACTTAAAAGTGCAAGGTGGAATCAATTATTTGTTCTTTTCAGAAAGTCTGATAATTTTATTTAACAACACTTCAATGGCTATTCGCTTGTACTTCATCAAATGACACTCTTTGAATGTGTCCATAATAACATTTAGAAATGTGATAGTATAATGTTAATACAATTGCTTTTTCCTGATATTCTGCAATTTATTTTAAATTGAATTTTAATTTTTAATTAAAAACACACACACACACACAGCTTTTTATGTATTTCATGCAATTTTCATGAAAACTATGCTTAAATCTGTTGGAAATCTTTGCAATGTCTTGAATATCAAAGTTCAGAAAATTTTTGCTTGTAAGCAAATTTGGGTAACAAAAAAAAAAACTTAGACTTTTCTATTTTATATCCAACATAAATCTTGTTTATTTCAAAATTAATCCCACTACATTTTTAAATTTTAAATTTAAATTGTAAATATTTGGCCACTAAAATAAACAGCAAAACAAATGAATAAAATGTTCTTGAAAAAGACAAGAAGAAAAAGTTGAATTTTATTGCTTAAACATCCTGCATCCTTTTACCATGATGATAAAAGTAAAATTAAAAAGTATTTTCAAAAACTTTGAGTGAGAAATTAAACTATAAATGATATTTTTATCTTTTTAAAAACTTCTAAAATGATATTTAATTTTTATTCACAATATATCAGTTATTTATTTATGAATAACAATATTGTATTTCTCATGAACAATAAAAACAATAATAAATAATATGCTAAGAAAATTGTAAAGATGGATAAGAAAAGTGCATGTAATTAATAATTTATAATTAGTAACTTTACATCTCATTTATTTTTTTAAATCTTAATTTCCAAATGTTCATTTGCTGCTTTTTATTATTTATAACTACGAAAAAAATAATTCTGACAAACATCAAATCATTTCCAGAAATAATTTGAATATTTTTTGTATTCGCTTTCATTTTTTTCATTTCAGCCATTTCTTAAAACAAAATTGTTAAATTTATTTTAACAATGTACTACTGTAACAATTAATATATAAAACATATAACCGATGTCTCTTAATTAAAGTAACAAACAGAGATTCACGTCATCCGTTTCCACTTTTTACGGAAATTTATAAGGAAGTAGAAGACAAGGAAGTGGAAACATCCATTAACTGTTACACCTTTCTCAGTAATATCTCATTGTCTAACGCTAATTTAATTTTCGTTGGAAAATTTCGTTGCGACATTAAACGAGTAATTCTAGATTTTTTACTGAAAAATACTATCACATTCATTCTTATCACAAACAAATACTGCTTGAATCAACGTTGTCCGTTCATATTTGTTGTTGCAACCATACTCTTTTGTTCATATCCTACAAAAGTTCTTATAATTGTAAATTTAACTGCTTTATTTCAAAATTAAATAAAAAGACTGAAATGATTGCAAATTCTGAAAATGTTTGAAAACGGCTTCAAAAAAATATTTGTCACAAACAAACTTAATTTGTGCTATTGCTCAGATAAAGTTGGATAAAGTTCAAGAAACTATAAACAATAATTTGTGATACAATAAGAACAAATGAATGACTGTAAAGATTGTCATAGCCACAGCAAACGACCATCAACGGTACATTGCTAACAATACCGTATAACAAAAGAAGCGAACACAGTACAACCACCACTTATTTTCTACCGTATTGCATTCAGGAATAATGCAATAATACAATAAGAATGAATCATCGGTTTACTAATTTTTTTCCGGTTAATAACTATGTCAAGTCAGGTGAGTATTAATTGGAAGTTTTATACTAAAGGTTTCGTACTAAAAAGTGATTTTTAGTTCAGATTGTGAAGCTGAAATTTTGGTCATTGTGAAAATATAATCATATTTCGATGAAAAATAAAAATTTAACTAATAACCAAATGTTTTTTCATTGTCTTCTCTGCCAAAATTGTTGACGGCAACTGAGGCATAGCTTGTATTTTTGGTGTTAAGTTTCGGAAGAAGTTTGAATTACTGGAAATTTAAACTGAATGGGAAACTTAGTAATGAGTTAATGTAATAATTTCCAAACAATTGGTAAGATACGGGTCTTACTAATTATTTAAATGCATACCATCAAGAACTAAAGTGACTATTAATTAATACAAAAAAAAAAATTAAAGTTTGTGGAAGCAAAAAGCTAGAATAAATATGAAATAGTGCAAACATAATAAAAAAAAAAACGCTAAGGTAAATAGTAATCTAAAGCTACTAACATAGCAGCACAATGTAATCACAACGTTTCTTTGCAATTATAATTGCTATTATGAAACATTAATTAATTCTATTTTAAAGTCACTTTCGAAGTTTAAATTCTGAAGATTGTGCATTCAGCACTGGAATAATAAGTTAAACATTTAACTTCTGTTCTGGAATTTCATTATTAATATGTGTAAATATACAAAAATGTGGTTTTTTCGGTTTCAACTCGGATTATTTTTCTTTTCTTTAGCAATTTCTTTTTACTGCATAGAAAATTTTTTACTTAGCCATTAAAATAAATAAATCATTCAAAGTTTCTTAAATTGAGGGACACAGCAGAAATGAATTTATAATTGAATTTTAAAAGCAGATCTCAAGGTATTAACAAACAACGTTGGTTGCCGTACCATATTACATAAACGAATCTCAATCATTTCTAAACTCTAAAATATTGTACTTATCAGTACTATAGCGATGTATTTTTCAATGAGTTCCGATATTAGCCCAAAATCATTAGAAGATCCTTCTGATGATTGAAGGCGAATGTCACTTTGAATGTCAATTTGAGTTATATATAAAAATTGAGCATTAATAGTTAACTACACGAGAAATCACTCCAATTTTAGTCAAAAATATTGAAGTGTTCATGTTTTCTTTGTTTATAATTTTGTATAACAAATCTAGAATTACTCGTTTAATGTCGCAACGAAATCTTTTGACGAAAATTAAATTAGCGTTAGACAATGAGGTATTACTGAGAAAGGTGTAACAGTTAATGGATGTTTCCACTTCCTTGTCTTCTACTTCCTTACAAATTTCCGTAAAAAGTCGAAACGGATAACGTGAATCTCTATTCCACCACAAACCATTGTTGCTTCAATTAAGAGACATCGGTTATGCTTACCAATTGTTACAATAATTTTGTAATCTCAAATATTCTTGAAGCGGCAAGACTTAATCGTTTCAATTGAGAAATAGATGAAAGAAAAATGGAAGATACTGCAAATAATTTGTTAAATTCTAAAAATTCATTCAATATCGTAAAAAGATAATTTCTATTATTTTCTTGACTTATGAAGCAAAAGCAGTGCAATATATCGTTTATTTGCACTGATCCGAAATGGTCTACAGTTCGTAAGGTATACTGTAAAATAATAAAATGTACACTGAAAAATAGTTTAAAATAATAAATTGTACAATGAAAAATAGTTTAAATTTTTTCCCAATTTAATTTCTTAGTAAATCTAACTTTTAATAATACGATTTAATACTGAAAAATATATATTGAAGAATTAAACCGGTATCAGCAAATTTGATAAATAGTAATCAAAAAAACAAAGACTTAATTTAACGATTAAATTTATACTTTTCATTAAAAACTAACATATATTTTATAAATATTTTAGACACTAAAAATCTTACAGTTTCCAGAAAGCATTATCGATGGATAAAACAATTGTTCATTCTTACTGTATTATTGCATTATTGCTGATATTATCATTAAACTGTCACGCAGAGAATGCGACAAATGTGTTCGATATAAGGAATGAATGTAATACGGTAGAAGGATACGTGGCGGTTGTACTGTTTTCATTGCTTTTGTTATACAGTATTGTTGGCAATGTACTGTTAATGGTGGTATTCTGTAGCCGTGACAATCTTTACAGTCGAGCGTTCATTATTATCGCATCACAAATTATTGTTTGTAGCTTCTTGAACTTTATCCCACAAGCGGCCATTGTTGTGCTTAAAATAGTAAGGAACAAAAATTTTGGGAGTAAGTTCTTTATGTTCGCTCATATATCACTAACTTATAATTTATATGATTTGAAATATTCATAATTAAATTGATTATAGCATAGTATGTTAATAAATAAAGTTGAATTACATTTATTTCATGTAATGTCACAAATGATTAAACAATTTTGTTTTGATTATCTATTCCATCAGTATTTAAGTACAAATTTCAGCATGGATTTACCGAATATTTTCTGTTTTGAGTACATTTTCGTTTTTCGTCTCGTTGCACTTAACATTTTTATTGGCAATGAATCGCCTTATAGCTATATGTTTTCCAAAATTTAACGCTTTTTTCGAATCGATGAAATTCTATTTTCTGCTCATCTTCCTATGGTTATCAGGTTTCGGTAGGTTACACCAATCATTTTATGCAATATTTTATAAAAAAGAATTGGTTAAAAAGAGACTGCGAATGGCATCGTAATATAAGTCGTAACTAAGTTTAGAAATTATCATTCGGTGGTTGTTCAGTGCATAGTAGTCAGTCTAACTGGAGTTATCAGAACTTAATTATTTTGCAACCTCAGTGATAAAATTATGCCTGACCCTGTTAAAATGTAAGCAACACTTCGAGCTAATTTCACTTTTATGATGAATTATCAGTGTCTAAAATTTCGCAAATGATTTTTCAGTAATATCGCTAGTAGAATTTCATTATTGTATCAAAATTTTTAATGTATCAAACTTCAAATGGTCATTTGATTGTACCAAAAGAACGCCAGAAAGTGGAGCTGCGTTTATGAAGTTCGTTTTCCTTTGAATTTCATATTTTTTCTTTTAAAAAAAGAATAATATGCATTAAAAACGGAAGAATTTTAAGTATATTTTATGTGCTACAAAAATATAAAAACAGTTTCGATGATTATAAGTTCAATTTTCTTTTTGCTAAAGCAATTATTGTCCATCGGCTAACATTTTTACTTCCCGCATATATGCTTACTTCCGTTTGTTTGCATGTTTGGTTATTTATGTTCAGAATTCGTTATGCATGGACTCTTGCGATACCCATTGCGATGTTCGCAATTTATATTCTAATATTCTGCAGTATGCGTAATAAACGGAAGAATGTTTCGAATTTGTGCATGGTGAACGGTAATTTATATATTATTGCACTACTTTTTTTATTTCGCGCTATCTTGAAAAAATATAAATTATGTTCATTTATCATAAATATTCTTTTGAATTTGTTCTCAAACATTTTCAGAAATCTTTGAAATTTCAAAATCATTTCAATCCTTTTTTTCATTTTCTTATTTCACTTAATTTTTAAATGAAGCAATTAAATTTAGCTGTTATATGGATTTCTATAGGATATGAGCACAAGAGAACGATTGCAACAAGCAAATATGAACGAATGATGTTGATTCAGGCAGTGTTTGTTTGTGGTGTGATGGAAATTCAAATTTTCTGTTTCAACTTCCTGTCGAAACTTACCATCAAACTGGTAGGCAAAGAAGTTGAAATTTTCGTCAATATTTTGACCAACTGTTTTGTAATTTTCAATGCTGCTGTATTGCCTACAGCCAATTTAATTTTCGTCAAACGATTTCGAGAGAGAGTGAAAAAGACATTTATAGAATTACTATTCAAAATTAAGGCAGCGCAAAGCAGGTCCACTGTTGTGCCAATTACTTCAATAACAACTAAGAAAACTCATCGAATTTCTTAGGAACGCTATGTCCGATTTCTGTAAAATGTCATAATTTTATATTATCCAACTTATTTAGTCTCGAATAGATAATAGATCTCTTGCTGGTATACTTTATCTTATATCGCGCAAACCATCTTGTCGCTTTTTTCTTTCCTGAATCTGTCAAAATTTTCTGAATTTACCAATCTTCTGTTAACTCGATCTATTAGTCTAATGATGTAACACAGTCATTTTAAGAAACAAAGCATTTCAAAGATATTTGCTAGCTCAAAACAAAAGTCATTAAAATAATAGCTAACGAATAGCTGAAATTAATTGAAAAGCATTAACTTGTTTCTTTATGGAAATTGAAATTATTATTTTCAACTTTTTGCCAACATTCGCAGTCAAAATATTCGGTGAAAAAGCTAATATTCCATCGAGGATTTTTGTTAATTGCTGTATTATTTTCAATTGTGCCGTATTTCCTACCATTCATTTCATTTGCAACAAACAAGCTCGTAATATCTGGAAGCAAAAATGTTTATTTTTGAAAAATCGACTTGAGAAAAGATGGAATCACTGTTTTGAATGGTTTAATGCATAATGGTCAAAAATTCAAACAATCTAAAATACAATCTATAGCAAAAGATGACTAATAATGATTCCAAAAACTGAAAATCTTCTTAGCATAAACCTAATTTCGAATATGCCAAGCTTTCTAAAGCAATAAAATGTATTTTTTCCACAATTGCGCAATTGTCTTACTTCAAATGCAGTGATGTATATACTGATTTGTTTTTTATTTTTAGTATAACTTACTTTGGTTCATTTCATTCTTTTATAATTAACACAAAGATAGATCGGATTCAACGAAGAAATATCATAGTACCATTAGCTGATTGCTCTATCAAATATGTTTGGTGCATTCGTCAGTGAGTTTCAAATACCAATGATTCCGATCAATTTTTTTTTTCCTTTTTCTTGCAAATAATTTGCATGATCTCAAAAAATCATTAGATCCAGTCAAATCAAATGTTCCGATATAAAGTTTTATCTTTTTATTTAAAAGAATTATTTATTATTATTTTTATTGTTATTATTTATTATTATTATTGCTATCATTATTATTGACCAATCAATTTTGATTAAGGGCTTTTTTGTGCCGCACATTTTACATTGTTATATTTACTTTTAATATCGAATTGAATATATATTAACTAAAAGTAAGGTAAGCTAATAAATCATTTAATAATTGCATATGAAGTTTAATTTGACTAAGATATTCCAAATTTCTTTTCTTTAAAATGATTTGTAACCTTGATCTCATTCTGCATGTTGATACTATCTAAATCATGGCTTGACTTCGAGAGCAAGGATTTGTCCAAAAACCGAATTATTTGTCCAAAAAACCGAATTATTTTAAAATATCTGAAATAATTTTAAATTCAAAAGATATGAAATATACTTTATTTGAATATTTTATAGATAAGTATAAAACGGTTTCAATTTTACACCTTAAGTGAGAAATCATTTATCCAACACTCGTCTTTCAATTGTGTCTATTAACATATGTGCAATTTTGTGCTAAGATTTTTTTTCGTACTTTATTCAATGATTAAAAGGTCATGAGCTCGGTTGTTTAATTGTTCAATTAACTTTCTTTTTTAACCATTGCGATTTGTAATGCAGAGATTTTCCAATCTGATGATCACTTTTGTAGACAAACGACGTAATGTTAAAAACCGACTCTCACTTTATAAAAGATAAAAAACACCCAACAATGACTTTTTATTCACTGTAGTCATGCACCTATTATATAAGGAATTTAAAAAAGGATTTTGTTAGGCTAATGATAAAATCCTTGTAATTGGTCAGATAATGCAAACGAATCGTCGAATAAAAACTCTATTACTCGATGTTATATGCATTATTAAATAGTATTAAATTATATTACAGATAGTTCATAATAGAGAATTTGGTTGGGAGTAACCGCAGGTGAAAAATTATTTCAGTGGAGCGTGGACTGAGACAAGTCGGATCGAAGCTTGCTGTCGCTAAAACTGACCCTAGCGACTGTCATGAAACTTGGAATGAGTCTCGCAAACTTCCAAATAATTTATAGAACATATCAAATAAAACAGTATTAATCTATAATACTAAAATTTGATTTACTTAAACATTTCTTAAAGAAATATAATACTGTTTCAAATTGCATTTATTCAACGCTCATCCTCCCATTGTAACTGAGCTTATCTGCTTGTCTAGAATTTTCCAACTATTAACAAAGGGTGTATACGTTGTTTAATGTGTTAAAAAATACTCCTCTGTTCCAAACCAAATTTGCTTGTTATGTAGAAATACTGCAAAGGTTTTCTAATCTAACAGTCATTTTTTTGTACCAACAAGTTTCGACGGTTCGACTGTTCTCTATCACTCATTTAATTCAGTTTATTTCAGTCTTTCAAGTTCTCATCAATTTATTCATTTCCTTCATCTCACATTTGCTTGCAAATAGAATATTCTCGATATCGATTAATACTTGTATATTATTGTTACTAGCGAATAAAATCGTTACAACAGATCTTTCACTCAACGTATTCGTCTATACAAACTGCAATAACAAACAAGGAAGGCTCTTGAACATACGAAAGTTCAACTCGACTCTAAGCTACGGAAGTCAGATGCCCCAGGTTTCATGATAATTTACATTACAGTAATAATTTTTATTCATGAATAAAACTAGATCCAACAAAGGCAGATATATTGTCACACGTTGATTTTTTTTTTTTCATATTCGAAAAGCCGTACAAACTTATCCATTCAGCTCAACTGAAATTTCATATTTCAGTAAAAATTTTTGTAGTACATTTAAATTATATTATTTTTATCCTTGTAAATTATAATTTTTATGCTTTGAAATTAGCATGCAATACATTCAAGATTATTATGGCAGTCACAAAATCAAGATTAATTGTAGTATTTTCAAAACTAATTACATATGATTTGATGTGATGTTTAATTAATGTACAATTTGTTTAATTATTCGTATTTGTTTGTATTGCGCATTCTTATTATGCAAAAAACGCCAAAAAAAGCTACGTTTTCAAATAATCCTTCAATTTTCATCTTAACAATTGTCAATTATAGCGATCTAAGCTATAATCCAAAAATTGATCCATAAATTCGATTTGTAAATCAGTTCTTCGATCAAATAAGGAAATCAAATAACTGTTCTTCATGTTTATTCATCCCTTATCTGCATACTTTAAATAATAACGGAAAGGCGTTGTCGAGAAGCGCACTGCACCAAAACGAACTTCGCATCATACAAAGTTTATCAATCATCTTCGAAGTTTCTTAGAAAAACTTCTACTTGTGAAATATTCTGTATCATTTGTAACTTAAGTATTCTGATTTGTTCTATTTGTATGATAATTCTACTCTGTTTGTCATAGAACAAAATTCTTTTTTTTTCTGATTATAATATAGTTTAATTGATGCATACTTTAAAGCACTTTAACAAGTTCCGTATTTGACCAATTTCATGATTTAGTAGCAAATAGTAGTGTAAGAAATTTCAAAATATATAAAATTAATTATTATTTCATAATGATTATCTATATTGTTTTCTAGAAATGCTCACATTTTATCAATGATTTTTGATTATTTGGCTAAGTTCATTATTTTATTTAAATTAATTTTTGCTTGTCGACTATTTTCTTAACAAGAATTTACCATGAAATAAGTCATATTATTAGGTGGAATATTGACTCAAATTTATTCATTTGTACACTTTTGAATGCATTCAGTATATTTAATTTGATAACTTATTATCTTTTATTTATTCACTCTATAACTACGGGTAGATTTTTGATTGTTAATGATCTTACCATGAAAATTTCTTTTAAACTGAGTTTCTTTCCGTTTTCCACTACGTCTATTCCATATTTCAGATATTGGCTGAAATGTCGCATCGGTTGTGCTACTACTACTGCTTCTATCCCAACGATCTGCATGAATTCTTCCATGTAGTTTATTCCATACTTCCTTCTTATGATATTTGATAGTATTATTGGTGTTATTTATTGTGGTATTGGTATTGGTAATGTTGGTAAGAGTAATATCAGCAATTGCAATAGGAGTTGTATTGGTGAATACAGAAGTTGTTAACAATCGTTGCAATTCACTGGTGCAGTTTGATTGAACTAAAAATCATCGTGATCTAACTAAAATATTTCTTTTGCAAAAATATTTCATGAGATATTATAACAAATAGAACAAAATATGCATGGAATGGCGATTTACGGATTGATAAGTAAATGGCGTAATATTGCACTATCAACAACATTCAGCAAGAATCAATTTTGATGATGTTGACAATTAGAAAAAAAAAAAGTAATAAATGAAAACTTACAATGACGACATTTCTGTTTATGTATTCGGGCCCCATTATTGCTCAAATTAACATGTATTAGACACAAGCCTTTTGTCACCTAAAGTAAATTTTCGATGAAGTTCATAGTTCCATTAGAAAAACCTATCCACTTTTTTCTTGAGTTATTCAAACTATTCTCGTGAATATTCATTTCTTTGTCACATCAATTTTTTTATATTAAAAAAATGAAACAACCGGACATAAAATTTGACAATCATTTTGTGCCGGAAGCCATTGTGGTTCAGCAAATACGTCACCACCTAAAAAAATCACTGCCATTTAACCAGAAAAATATATAAAAATAAATTAGATAATCATAAATTATAAATTTCTCACAAAAAACATCAGTTTTAGAGAGTGATTTCAGCTATTTATAATCTTTTCATATAATTTAGTATTGTTGTTTGTAGACTTAAATGACTAAAATTTTCATTTCTAAGAAATATGCAAGGACATAAGTAGGCCTTCCCAACGATAAGAAATAAATTTTGATAGTCAAATTCTTAGTATAAATAAGTAGAATGTAGGAAGTAAAACTTATAAATAAAATAAATTGATATCCTTTAAAGGAATAAAATTGAATGTTTTTATGTTTTGGTTTCTGAATACAACTAAAACGATACCAAGGATGTATTATTCCTAGTAACACTATTATCAAAATAATTTGCATATTATAAAACATGATTATAAAATTATCTAGCATAAGTTGCATTTTTAATTTAATCCAAATATTGCAATTTCATTTAAATTTGTTTAATTGGCATATGTGATTGAAAATAAAGAATAATGAAATAAGAAAATGGTAGAAGATAAATTAATTCCACATAACCTCATTAATAATTGTAACTGAATAATATATCACTAATTACTAATATTAATCACATTAAAATGTTCCTAAATAATTTGAGCATAATTAGAACACAAATTAACTAACATGGATTTGGATCAAAAAAAAAAAAAAGCGATATGATTTTACTAGCAATCTATTAATTAGAATATATTTGTTATTGTTACTATTTTGTCATTATTATTTTTCTAATTATTACTAATTAATTAAATCGCTTACTAATACCACAATGTAGCTATTAATGAATATCATAGGGTATTATATGAAATGCAAACTTACATAAATGTTCATTTTCATATAAAAATTTGAAAATATGGCGAAAGAATGCATCGTCATCATTACTTATAGCAGTATTAGCATCGATAGTATTGCCATTAGTTTCATTAATGAATAATATTAATATAATCAGTTGTGAGAGGAAACAATATAATACATTCAGTAACATTGAAATTGGATTTATTTATTTCTAAACAGATTAAAAGTATTAAATAAATTTCTTTGAATAAATCAATTATGATAAGAAGAAATAATATATAAAATTTTGATTAAATAATAAGCAATAAAATAACATTTACTAACAAACAAAATTTTTAACTGCAAATAATTAATAGCAATGAAGCAAATTCCTCTCTTTTATTATAAAAATTCATCGTAAGAGATAAAAGTTAATTTATTGTTACTGTCTTATGAAGTTCATTATGATAAAAAAAAAACTTTTCTTCCTTTTCTTTTCTAAATTATTCTTATTGGAGAACATACTGTAAGGAAATGTTGAATACTTTGTTTTCTTCTTTTATTTTTTTTACTATAATAGATTTCATGTTATTCCATTACTGAAACAATAAAATTATTAATTTCTAATATTACACTTTCTGATGATGCAAATTTACTTCTTGTTAATAAATAAATATTACATATTAGCACAACATATTTTTACATATTTTCTTTATTTTCTATACATATAATTACATAATTTCTGTAAATGCTGACATTACTATTAAACAATTCTTTCAATGAAATGAAAGAATTTTTTTTTTTTTAAAAAAAAAAGAAAAAAATTGCTGAAAGATTTTATATCATTTAAACTTTTTTCTTTCACTTTTTAAAAACTTTTCTATTTATAGTAATAAACTAAGCTAAATTTGAACAAAAAAAAAAAAAAAACAATTAAAAAAAAGCTGCAAGATATAATACGAATTTGTTTGGGTAATTTGGAATAAAATTTACGATTACTTTCATTTAAACAAAATGCACACAGACGCATTCACGGATGCCATTAAATCGTCTTCGGATGATTTTTAATGAATTTTTATCGTTATAATTAATATTTTGACATGTGGAGATGGATTCAGGTCAACAACGATGATCACTAATAATGAATGATACATATAACGACTGTGATGCAGTGCATATTGTTGTTTTCCACATTTCTGATTTCTAATTGAATTATAAATTTCTGATTGATGACTGATATCAAATACAGGCAAGATTAATTATATAAAGATAACATAAATTTTTACAAATTTTAATTGAAATAATATAAATTTTATGAAGTTAACATAAATTTGATGTAGAGTTTACAACTGAAAAAAAAAAAAGAAAACAAAAGTTGAGATAAAAAAAAATTGGTAAAAAAATAAAGACATAAATTAATGACTTTTATTCTTATTATATCAAAATTTTGCTTTAACTTTTAATTATTTTTTTTTTTGAATTAAGATTTATCAAAATTTTGTTTTCGCTTTGAATTAAAATGGTTGATAGCATCAAGTGCTATTGATGAAATTTCCAATTGAAAAAAAAAAAATATTTCAATTGAACTGAAATAATGTTAACAATAAATTGCCCTTAAAGTAAAAGTTTTCTTCAGCTGAAATCCAATAAATAATTTTTCTTTAGCTAAAATCTGATAAATAACTGATTGTTCTGATTTGGTTTTTAGATGACAAAAAAGTTTTTTTTTTCTTTTCTCACAATTTCATCTAATTGTTACCTTTTAATTTGAAACAAATTCCAATATAAATACTAAAAATAAAATATTGATGTTTTGATTTATTTTGTTAAATAACATTCATTTCTTCGTACTTCCGTTCATTGCAATTTTTCATTAATTTTTTTAAAAAAAAAAAAAAGAATGTGTAAATTTTTTTTTTCTTCACCTTACATTCATTTATTGGGTATTTCTGATAATTTATTGATAAAATTAATGATTAACATAAATTTTATGAGAAATTTAAATTTACAACCTTTTTTATTTCATTTTTTTCTTTATAATTTAAGTTAAATTTATAGTTGAAAGACAAATTTTGTACATTCCGGACAATATCAAATGATATCGGCAAATCATATCAGTTAAATGATAGAAACATACGAAAACGATACTGACAAATACACACACACACACACACACATACATACATACATACATACACATGCACACACATACATACATACAGCATTTCATACATTTCAGATGGAAGTAGGCAGGCGTTGTTACGAGTGGAAGGTGCAAAAGGTTGATGATGGTGAATATATTGGTAGTAATGAATATGAAAAGGGTTGCGTGAACCGAAAACGGCCATGAACCCCGTTTGAAGTGTACCGTTCAACCCTGTTAATTCTCTCCAATTTTGCCCCCCCAAAACGTTCTCAAAACTATTCATTTTAGGTGATTATCTTAGAGGAAACTATTCATTTGCTATTATTTTATATTAGTAAATATATTTTTATTAAAAAAAAAAAAATTTTGTTCAATAAAATTGATTAATTTTCACACAAAAAAGATATATCTATATACTTATGTTGCAATATCTTTTTTAAATTAAATTGTTTTTTGATTTTTATATAATAAGTTATATAAATCTAAAAATATATGATAAATTAACAAATTTGAAGTTAAATTAAAATAAAAATTATGCTATTCAAGTATTTCGTTTTTTTTCTTTGGATACTTTTCTGTTTTAATTATATGTATATATAGTTAATATGTTGATTCATATTTGAATATAATAAATGCTTTGTAATCTAATTATAACATTTAATTAATTCCTTTTATAATTACAGATTAAGGTATTTCGCTTTGTGTTACATCCTGTCTTCATTACTTTATTAATCATTGCTTTCTTCTGATCCAAATATTTCTTCTCTTTTAATGCTTTTTTATGTGTTAGAAAATTAAATAAAAAGAAAAAAGAATTAAGTAATCAAATTCTATTCATCAATAGGTTTGAATTAATGAGGAAAAAAAATGATTGAAGTAAAAATTTAAAAAGGAAAAAAAAAACAAAATCTTTTTTATTTAAATAATATATATTTTTTATCATGTGAAAATGTCATCAAATCTTATTATGAAAGCTTACCGTTAAATTAATTAATCATTAAATCCTGAATTAATAAAAATAATTTGTTAATTATTTTTTAGCAAACTCCGCGTATATGGGACAATATGTTAACCACTATTTGCAAGGTATTCATGCTATCAGCTGTCTATTATTATAATTTGTTGTTTTTCATTGAATATTAATTAAGATTGTGAACTTTAGAATAATTAATAGGAAAATAATTTTAAATAGAAATTTTAAAAAATTTGCCATTGCATAACTATATAATTATTAATATTTCAAACTGGCATAACTGTAAAATTCATTGATATTTTTAAAATAAATTCAGTACAATTAAATGTAACAGAAAGCTTAGTGCTTTTCTCACTTTTAATTTAATAATTTCAATTACAAACCTTTAAAATTCTAATTAAAAATTAACGACAATTTAAAAATGGCAAATTCATACGTTAAAAATTACAAAATTCTGTTGGAAGAAAAGATTTTTTTTTTAATTCATTAAGCAAAATATAATATAAATCAGAATTTTCTTTTTTTCTCACATTTTTTTTTTTTTTTTTTTTGTTGTTGTAGATAAGAATCTAAAAACAAAGAAAAAATGGAACAAAAGAAGAAAAAAACAGTAGCTTTGTTTATAAGGGAAAAATTATTTTTGATTAAAATTTTCAAAATACATTTACCTTATTATCAAATCTTTTAAATGAAATTAAATGACAAAAAGTGGGAAAGGAGGAGGGGAAAGTGGAATTTAAATTTGGGAAAACGATAGATGGATGAATTTTTTTTTTTTTTTTACTTTTTGATTCGTTTTTTTTTCTTTTTTTTATCGGGCCAATCAACATATAACCAAATGAGAGTCAAATTTAACACCCTTATGCAATTAACATGGCACAGTGACCCCAAAAAATAATCGAATAACAGAATAATGCGAATGAAAAAATTTTTGCAACCATACAACCATTTAAAATTTCGTAAATAATTTCAATAGCAATTTGATAAAAAATAAATTTGTCAATTTGTAAGATTGATGAAAATATTACTAAAAATTGATTTACGATAGATAATTTGAAAAATTCTTATCGAATATGTTGTAACATAATAAAAGAATATTATAGTAAAAAAATTTCAGGGATGATATAAATGAAAATAATGATTTGTAGAGGAAGAAAGAAATGATAATATATTAAGATGATAAATTGATAATTTGATAATTTTATGAATAAAAAATATAATTTTATTGATGAAAAAAAAAGCTCAGATGATAATTTCATTTCATCGTTAAATTAATAAGTAAAGAAGGTCTTCAATTTATCAACATTTATCAATTAATAATGGTTTTCAGAAATTATTGTTTGATAAAAATTCTAATTGATTGATTTTTGGTCATTGATAATTGCTAAACCATAGCTAAAATTTAATGAAATGCATTTAGCAATAAGAACTAATGAAAATACAGTCATTAAAATGAGCAACAATCATATCTCAAAATTACAGTTTAGAAATTTTATAAAATAATTATCAAACTTTTGAGATTTAATTTCAAAATTTATTTTAGGGTCAACCGGTATGGCTTTTTGTGAACAGTGGAAAGGCTCTTTGGGAACCAGCACTAATAGTTGAAACTGATCCTCTAACTGTGCAATTCATTCAAAATGTTTCTATTATTTCATCTTCTATCTATTTGATGATATTTCATTATTTTCCTAAATTTTCAATTTAATTTTAAATTGAATGTGAATGTGAAATATAAATCAAATAGTTAGTTATATTAATTGTATGCTAACTCTGATATAAGGAATGATCATTTTGATTATAAACAAATTCTCTAATTATCAATGTACAATTTATTTTTCAATCATTAATTAAAGAAATTAATTACAGGGTCAAACAATTCCGTTAGAGAATACAGTTAGACTTACCGAACGGAAATTATTCGATCCAAATACTGAAAATTTAGCTACTATTCCGTATGCTTTCTTTTTTTGATCACAGTGAAAAATCAATGAAAATTTTAAGTATAAAATTTTATTCTTAATTAAAAAATTTAAAGAAATATGTTATAGAGATGAATCAGAATCAGCGCTCTTATTTGCCTTGCGTAAAC